TTCATGTCACAGTGGTGTCCAGAAAATTCACAGATCTAGTGGAATATTAAATTTTTTGTTTGATTGATGGATGGAATGTGTTAAAAGAGTCATGGAACTGTATCAGTTTTTCTTTGCTTTCAGTCCAAATTATGAAGATTGCATTGATATAGCGATAATATTTGTATTGTTTGGCTGCTGTATTTATAGGAATTTCTGTTCAAGATCTGCCATAAACAGATTAGCATATTGGGGTGCCATCTTAGTGCCCATAGCAGTGCCCATAATAAAATGTATGTTTTCTGTGCCTGGAGATAATTGAGTTTAGTACAGTTCCTGACTCAATTATCTCACAGGCACAGGGGAGGGATTATTCTGTTTTGTGTGGGAGTGTCCTGAACCTGAGATCTAATTACAGTGTGTACTTTGCCATAGTCCCCCCTCAGGTCCAGTGGGAAATGCCTCTGGAATATGTCACGGTAAACCTCTTGCATGGAGACTTGCATATAAACCGGCCAGTTGGTCTGAATAAATTAATTCCTGTTGTACCCTTCATCTAGTTTAGGCTGATGTTTGGGTATACGTCTGATTGTTTGGAGAATTTACTTGGATACTGCATTTTCTTCTGGAGAACGTTCGAATCAACATCCGAACTGCGAGCTATATTCACTCGGGAGGAACTGAAAGCGAACAGGTAGCTAAAATACCAGCGTTCCTAACAAACTTGAAAAAGATCTCAGTTGAGATAGAAACGTTGTATGTTTATCCTGTTTTTCCAATAAAACTGCTGCACAAGGAAGTGGACTATATTTTTGTTTCACATTGTGCTAGGCGACATGGTACACCAAACACCCTAGTGTTGGTTAAAAGCACTTTCCAGGCTGCTTGTCTGCAAAAAAACATGAAAAACTAAAGGAATAAATATTGTTACTATAAGGAAAATGCAAAATAAGCTCGCCCCACTTTAAGATTTGACTTTACAATCCTTGGGATGTCTAATTTCACAAATGGCATGCCCCTGTTCATACTTTACACTAATTAGCTGCAAATATTTGAAAAGAAATCATAAGGCCTTTGTAAGATCATTTGCAGTTATGGCCTGCTAAAAGGAAATGTTTGAAAAACTTCCAAACTTGCCCCTTCAATATCCACGTATACCCGGCAACTGGACGAAACACAGCTTTGGGAGTCAACTGATTTTTATTGAGCCACAGCTGGCTTTTATGCGATTCCCCATGCAAGGGCTTTCTTTAATGACATTCCAAGGCCTGGCCTGTGGAAGACTGGGAACAAAGCCATATTTCCCATGATCCTTGCCTGTACTTGGAAGGTAATTGCATAAGAACAATTCTTTAATTAGATTATCTCCCAGGTACAGAACATTAAATTATATTTCAAAACATCATAACTCCCATAATATTAATCAGAACTCCACGAAAGACACTTCACTGAATAGCAGGGATCTGATCGCCCAATCTGTCGAAATACCGCTCAAATCCGTTTGGTAGAAGGAAAAGTCACAAACCCTCTCCAAAGTTAGCATTTATATTTGTTTATGTGTTAAAAATGCAAAAAACTATTATGAACGCTAACTTTGGCCAGTGTTTGTGACTAAGTGGCTACTAAAAAAGACTGAACATACCCCATTTGCAATACCTTGGGTTGTCTTCTTTTGCAAATGGTATGCCATCATGGGGGTAATTCTCATTCCTGGGCTACCATACGCTCTCAAAGACAACATAACCGATCTGGCAAATTTCAATGTGAAAAAACGGAAAATCAACCCTTATATTTGACATGTAACTTTCAAAAACACTATAAAACCTGTACATGAGGGGCATACTGTTTTCTTGGGAGACTTCGCTGAACACAAATATCAGTGTTTCAAAACCGTAAAACGTGTCACAACAATGATATCATCAGTAAAAGTGCGGTATGTGAAAAATGCAAAAAAAATCACTTTCACTGACAATATCATCGCTGTGGTATGTTCTACTGTTTTGAAACACTAACATTTGTGCTCAGCGAGGTCTCCAAAGTAAAACAGTACCCCCCATAAACAGGTTTTGGGGTGTATGGAAAAAGTTACAAGGTTAAATATAGTGCTAGCAAATTAAATTCTCTGGACTTTCAGCCTGGGTTGTCAGACAGTTCCCCTGAACTGCAATAAAAAACATTACTTATGTAAAAATATTACATAAATATGCACGTATAATTTAAATATATATACATATTTATATATTTGAAGTCTATGTGTATATTTATGCAATTATTTATTTAATTATGTCTATGGATATATATATTTTGTATTTTTTATATATATATATATATATATGATGCACTTGATAAAGACTCAGTTATTAGTCAAAACGCGTTGTGCTATATATACTGTTTAATTGTAACTATATTGTTATATGTTGTGATACCTCCTAAACTGCATGCCCAATAAATAGTTTGCACTTACCAAAGTTTGGATTGGAAGTTATATCTTTGGGAGAAAGCAGAACCAGGGAGCAGTGATCTGGAGATTCCATACATAAAAGAGTCTTGAAAGTCTGAGCCTGCTAGAAATAGGCTCAGCACCATATATCTAGCAGTTATTTTTTACCATTCAAGACCCTGCAGTGGTAGTAATTTACCATTTTATGTGTTTGCTCTCACTTATTCACTTTATTATTATTAGTATCTATCAGTGTTGTTAAGTGACATAACACTGGTGATTGTAGCAACGCTGTACCAGTCTTTTATTCCATTACTGAATTTCATTTTGTTTTCAACTTACTTGAACCTGTCCCTCTCGGGCGTGGCCATCTTGGTCCAGCATGGTCCTCTTCGGCTCTGTGTTCTCGCACATCAGCCAATTCCCTGCAGCCATCACTGATGATGGCTGTATGGATTGACTCCTAGACTCTGCCTTGTGTCAAAGAAAGTCAGGTAGAGGAGAAATACAGAGACAAAGTAATCCCTTCTTTGTCTCTGTATATCTTTTGACTAGGTTGAAATTTCAGTGAAACTCCAACACAGTCATTATAATTATTTCATAAAGATTCTATTTGATTCTATCCCTGATCTATAGGTCTACATGAGCAAGGTCATGTGCAGAATCTATATATCATGTTCTTTTAAGATTTGAGTGAAATAAAAAAATAAAAAAAATATGTGCGTTGTAGATTGCAGAAAGTGTTGCAGTAATGAGAGTCAAAATCAAATAAAAATGTTAATTAAAAAAATATACATTATTTATTTCAGTGCATGATTGTATAGTATATCAGTTGTGAAATATGTGAAAATTGATAAATTGTATACACTTTCCTAATAGTGTTGGTAGTTTCAGACAGTTGTAGTAAAGAGATTTTTAAGGATTTGTTTTAGAAAGTATGTTTAAAAAGGGATACATTATCCGTAAATGCTTTTAATTTGATGTTCATCAGATACCTTGGTATTGGTGCCCAAAAAGGAAATTTGTTGATTGAAGCCTTTTAAAAAAAAATCAAAAATTAAATCATTGAAGCAAAGTGAGAAACGCCCATATATATCTGGCAAAAGCATACATAAGGAATTTGCAGTGCTCAGAAGACTTAGCTGAGGAACATATTAAATATTTTACTGCAGTAGCACATACAATGATTAAAACATAATTTCAATGTGTGGGTGGAAGAATTCAGAAAAAAAGCTTTTTACCACTACACTTAAATAGGCCCACAATACAGTCCTTTGCCCTTTGAGATCCCCGGGTTTTCTAGTTCAACATGTTCAGTGCGATTAAAGAATGCACTCATGATATCCTTTTATGTCACTGTTAGTTATTTATTATTTGCATTTATTGTGAGGATATATAGATAGTCGGGGGTCAGTGCCATGTCGTCAAGTCAGGTCGCTGTTAGTGGGTACTGTGGAAGTGTCTTTGTCCTAAGTCTCTGTAGTGTGAGTAGTCTCGGGGTGTCTCGCGCTCTGTGGTCAGTATCAGGTTTGGGTGTCTGGGGGTGGGGTGGAGTGGAGTGGAGGTTAAGGGGTTGAGGTGGCGAAGAAGTCGTGGAAATTTCCAGAGATCTTCGTTGGTTGTGTCACTGTCTCGTGACGACTAGGTATAGGCGTTGGGGAGCCTCAATCCACGGCACCACCGATGCACGTGGGATGCTCACCTTCTGGGTGACGCCTCGCCTACTGGGCAGTGGTTGGGTGGTCAGGTGTCTGAGACGGTTGTCTTAGTGGTATGTCCGGTCCCGTGACATCCCTGTGCGGTTCCTCAGTGAAAACTCAGTGGGAGTGTGTTTGTTTTCCCCGCCTCGGCGTGTGGTGGTTCTTGGGCCTGTATGGATGTTTGTCTTTGTGTGCAGCATTTTTGTTTTTGTGGCTCAGTAGTAAGACATAAACAGTAACATTAACATTTTGGTCTCAAATCACAACAGGTGAAGACAAAATTCCGACAGCTCTTTCACATTTCAGGTTCATGCACAGTTTATCCCAAGCCCCCTGTTCCCCGGGTTCCCGCTGGCCAGCCTGTCTAGTGTGTGTCTTTGTGTCCCTCATGTCTTCATGTTGTGTTCACTATCTCTCTCGAAGTGTTTGGGTGGAATTTTCTAATTTAATGGCCAAAGTAGCCAAACTGGCAGCATGGCCAACTTGAAGTATATTTATTTAAATTTATAATTCAGTTTGAATGTCTGTCAATTCTCACTTTAGGAAATAATCTTGCCAAAAGTGATTTGTGCTGAATTTACAAAAGAATTACAAAAACTAGTAAAACTGGAAAAATTCCACAATTCAACCTTTTTTGTTTCACTTCAGTTCACTGTTTAGTGAATAGGCCTTTTAGTATACTAGCTTACTCATGTGCAACAGATATTATAATATTAAATTTAATGGGTCTCTAGATACATTTATTATTATTATTTTTTTTTTTTTTTAAATCCTTGGCTAGGGACCTGTAATCTGCTAGGGACTTGGAATTGGTTTGGCGAGAAGGATGGGAGGGGATATATTACATACACAATCTTACAGATTACACTGAAAGGATGCCAGGGCAGTTCTGGACCCATAGCCACGACAGAGGCCTGTACAGGTACACACCAAAATCTAATGTGCTGGGTATACCTATGGTCTTTGATGCTTGAAGTAGTAGGACACAAGTCCTGTGAAATGGTTCATTAACCACTTCACTACAAAGCACTTTTTGATTGAAAACATATTAGGATAACATTTATTTGAAGCAATGGATGCATAGCTAGCATATAAACATGTCATAGCACAGCACTTTTATATAGAGGTTGATTTGCAGACAAACTTAAACATTTTAGTTATATAAATTGACACAATTTTGTATTTTTCACTTATCTTTTCATCATTTATAGAACTATTATAAGCTTTTAGACAGTATACAGTGTCAGTTATCTTGCAATATTTCAATATTTCACACAGGGTCTAAAATGTTAGTATAAAAGCAAACATGAAAATTTTGTCATACAGTAGGCACATTAAAATATATAGATAAAAATAATAGTATCAAAGTGTTTAATCAGGAATCAGGTTTACTATGGTCAAATTCCTTGCTTATAGGTATTTGTAAGGACAATGACAAAAAAAAATATATCCATTTGAGCATAGTGCCTATATACAGTAAAATCATATATTTCTAGAATAAAGATATTTAAAACTGCTGATGCAAGCTTTATCACTATCTCGACTGTTAATGTAATGCTGACAGTAAAATAGCAAGTCCATTCACCCCTCCACGAAACGGACTGATATGACCCATTGAAACTTCCTTTATTGTTTGAAAGCAAAGGGTGGACTAATATTCTCAGCAATTTACATTCATTATTTCAGTGACTAGAGGATTGTGGAAGAGACATTTTTTCCTAGTTACATAGTTACATAGCTGAAAAGAGACTTGCGTCCATCAAGTTCAGCCTTCCTCACATTTGTTTTTTGCTGTTGATCCAAAAGAAGGCAAAAAAACAAACACAGTTTCAAGCACTTCCAATTTTGCAACAAGCTAGGGAAAAAAATCCTTCTTGACCCAGGATGGCAGTGAGATTTATCCTTGGATCAAGCAGTTATTACCCTACATTGGAAGATTAAATCCTTGAATATTCTGTTTTTGCAAGAATGCATCTAGTTTCTGTTTTAACATCTGTATGGACTCTGATAAAACCACTTCTTCAGGCAGAGAATTCCACATCCTTATTGTTCTTTTTTATAAAAAAAAAAACCTTTCCTTTGCCTTAGACGAAATCTTCTTTCTTCCAGTCTAAACGCATGACCTTGTGTCCTATGTAAAGTCCGGTTTGTGAATAGATTTCCACACAATGGTTTGTATTGGCCCCGAATATATTTGTATAATGTTATCATATCCCCTCTCAGGCGACGTTTTTCTAATATGTTCCATTCCTTTTATTAATTTTGTAGCTCTCCTCTGCACTTTTTTCTAGTGCCATAATATCCTTCTTTAGAACAGGTGCCCAAAATTGCACAGCATATCCAATATGTGGTCTTACCAGTGATTTATAAAGAGGCAAAATGATATTCTCATCCCGAGAATGAAAGTCCTTTTTTCATGCATGACAAAACCTTACTGGCCTTAGCCACTGCTGATTGACATTGCCCATTGTTGCATAGTTTGTTGTCTATAACAATTCCCAAGTCCTTTTTGTGTGTTGTTATCCCTAATTCGCTTCCATTAAGGGTATACGCTGCTTGTATATTCTTTACGCTGAAATGCATAACATTGCATTTTTCAACATAAAATTTCATCTGCCATTTGAGTGCCCAGTCCTCCAGTCTATCTAAATCCCTCTGCAGCAAAGTAATATCTTGCTCACATTGTATTATTTTACAGAGTTTTATGTCATCTGCAAACACTGAAACATGACTTTCAATACTTTTTCCAAGATTATTAACATGTTAAATAGAAGTGGTCCCAGAACAGAACCCTGAGGGACACCACTTGCCACCTCTGTCCAGCTTGAAAATTTACCATGAATGACAACTCTTTGTAGTCTATTTTTAAGCCAATGTTCTACCCAAGAACAAGTATTTTCATATAGACCGATTTCCTTGAGTTTGAACACTAACCTATTGTAGACATGTGAAATTCGTTTTGTTCCGAATGTCAATATAGCCGAATTGCCGAATTACCGATGTTCCAAAATTTCCGAAGTTCCGAAGCACAGTATTGCCAAAGTACAAATATACCCAGTGGAAGAATTAAGAATGTTACACTGTATACAAATTTAAATAAAAAGTATACAAAAATAGCCAGGATTCAGCTTTAAGCATTTGCAACACTTAAAACAATCAAGTAACACACATTCATATAAAATGTAAGTTACTTACACAGTCAATGGAATGACAGGAATGAATAAGTAGATAACTCCATAATTCCCACGGTATTAGGGAGCTATCTACTAAAAGGCTGAAATACCTAAATTGGTCTTTCAGCCAAATTTACTAATACTAAGTAAAGATTACTTAGTATTAGTAGATTATGCCCCTACTCGCTATACCGCAAGTAGGGGCATGTCTATTAAACAGTGAGCAGCTCGTTTCCCCCCCAGCCCCCACCCCTCAACGGAGGGTGGGGGCCCTAAAGTAAAATAAGGGGTGGGGACCTATTGTCCGTCCCGGCTCACACCCCTGAGCGGCGGGTAGGGGCCCTAAAGAAGAATAAGGGGGGGACCTATTGTCCTCCCCCATGGCCTCCACCCCTGAGCAGCGGGTGGGGGCCCTAAATATCAAAAGGGGGTGGACCTATTGTCCTCTTCCTGGCAGTGGCGTCTCCAGCATTCATATTTGGGGGGGCACATAGGGGGGCAAGGACAAAAGTAGGGGGGCAATAACAAAACACTTGTGTATGTATATGTGTATGTATATATATATATATATATATATATATATATATATATATATATATATATATATATATATATACACACACACACATACACATACACACACGTGGAGAACATTTAAAAGTTAACAAAATTCTGATTTCCAGCACCTTGTTAAATATGCTAAAGTCTATCTGCTTCAGATATGCCATGGTAACAATATCTCATGATGCCAGAATGGTTACAAAACTAGGTTTTTTTTTTAAATATTTATTTTTAAAATAATTTACAACATGCAATTTAAATGGAATATAAATTAACCTTTGTCACACTCACACCACTCGCTATAATCACTGCAGTTAATTCACTTTTCTCATAACATAGATGTGGCACAGGCCGCTGGCCACAATACCTGCTCCTCTCTGCCTGCTTGTTCTGCTCCTCTCTGCTAGCTCTGCTCTGCCTCCTTTGCTCTTGCTCCTCTCTGCTTGCTCTACACCTCTCTGCTTGCTTTGCTCCTGTCTACTTGCCTTGCTCTGTGTCACGTATTCATGCAATTACAAAAATGTGGTTAATGGCATTTACTGTACACACAGGAAAAGTTGTGCCGAGCAGCAACCAAATCCACAGAAGGGTTAATGCTGAGCAGCAATTATGCAAATGGAAACCTGGTAACTGCCTTTTGGGTCAAAGGCCGGTTACAGCCTATCAGATCTAGAGGAGGGGTATTTAGGCCCAGTTCTCATCCTGCTCAGTCCCCTGACGTGGTTTCCCTTGTGGTTGTCCAAGAGCGCGTCATTGATTCTAGTCATTCTGGTTATTTGACTTTGGCATTGTTTTTGACTTCCCTGTTTTCTGGCATCCCTGACTCCTGACTTTTCCTTATTGTTGTGTCTCTTTCTGTATCCCTTGACCTCAGCTATTCCTGACTATGCTTTGGTACGTTGGTCTGGCCATTCTAAGGTCAGGTATACGTTACCTATCAGTCCTCTGTGTTACACAATTCTATGTGCTGGATCATTCTGTAATCCTGACACACTGCTACTCTCTACCTGCTTTACTCTGCTTCCTCTCTGCCTGCTCTGCTTGCTGTGCTTCTATTTGCATGCTCTGCTTTTGCTCCTCTCTGCTTGCTCTGCTCCCCTTTACTTGCTCCGCTCCTCTCTGCTTTTCTCTACTTGCTCTGCTTCTCTCTGCCCCTCTCTCCTCTACTTGCTCCGCTCCTCTCTACTTGCTCTGCAGTGGCGTCTCTAGGATTCATTTTTTGGGGGGGCACATGGAGGGCCAGTGACAAAAGTAGGAGGGCACATTTAACCCCGCCCTCGTCGCAGTTTGACCCCACCCCTGTCGCATGTTAAGCCACGCCCCCAACACAATGTGTTTTGTTTTTTTAATAATACCTGGTGGAGGATTCATTATTTTCCACCAGGGATTATTAAAAAAACAAACACATTATCCTTGATACAGTGCCATAGTTGCCAACATTTGAAAAAAAAATTCCAAGGACATTTTGCAGCACAGCTATCAATTACTGTCTGGGTATAATATCCCTGGACAGTCAGTGCTCTCTGTATAATACAGGGTTGTGTGTATCATAAATTGGGACACTCAGTGCTCCCTGTATAGTGCTGCTCTCTGTATAATACAGGTCTTTTTGTGTATAATATCCCAAGACAGAGAGCAGCACTATACAGGAAGCACTGACTATCCCGGGATATTTTATACACACAGATCTGTATTATACAGATAGCTGAGCATATACCCCAATCTCTAGACTACTAGTACCTGTCAACTGCAGCTCCCAGACGCGTGTAACAGGGCTAAAGTGTGCGGCAGCTCACACAGATTATTCAGCGGTAAAGTGCACTCGCTGGCAGAGCCAAACTGGGAATCCCTGGGAATCCAAAGCAGCCCTGGAAAAAAAACGTATGCCATTCCTACAAGTCAAAATAAATATATATATATATATTACAGTAAGCACACAAGCTCACTGACATGTGCAAATAGACTTACTGACAGACTAAACTCTCTGACTCACACACAAGCTTACTACAGACACTCACTTGTATAAACAGAAGGCTCACTACAAAGAAGTTCAGGGACACACACACAAGCTCACTAAAGACAAGCTCACTGACACACACATGCTCACTAAATAGAAGTTCACTGACACACACAAGCAGTACCATTTTAACAGAGTTAAGGGCCCCTGGGCAAAGCAATGCACTGGGGCCCTTCCTACACAACAACTCACAGGAATTTTAATTATTGATAGACTGCTGAGTCCATACACACACACATACACACACACACAGACTGCTGAGTCCATACACACACACACACACACACAGACTGCTGAGTCCATACACACACACACACACTCTGCTGAGTCCATACACACACACACCCTCTGCTGAGTCCATACACAAACACACACAGACTGCTGAGTCCATACACGCACACTCTGCTGAGTCCATACACACACACACACACTCTGCTGAGTCCATACACACACACACACAGACTGCTGAGTCCATACATACACACAGACTGCTGAGTCCGTACACACACAGACTGCTGAGTCCATACACACACTGACTGCTGAGTCCATACACACAAACACACACACTCTGCTGAGTCCATACACACAAACACACACAGACTGCTGAGTCCATACACACACAGAGACTGCTGAGTCCATACATACACACACACAAACACACACTCTGCTGAGTCCACACACACACAGACTGCTGAGTCCATACACACACAGACTGCTGAGTCCGTACACACACAGACTGCTGAGTCCGTACACACACAGACAGCTGAGTCCATACACACACAAACACTCTGCTGAGTCCATACACACACAGAGACTGATGAGTCCATACACACACACAGACTCTGCTGAGTCCATACACAAACACACACAGACTCTGCTGAGTCCGTACAGACACAGACTGCTGAGTCCGTACAGACACAGACTGCTGAGTCCGTACACACACAGACT